AGAGGTTCGCCACAACGACGTTATGCAGAAGCTCAAAAAATGAAGAACAGCCGGAAATCTTGGAAACCTTATGGCACCTGCTATGCGAATGCTCCTCACTTTGCAAAATAAGACGAAATTTCTTGCATTCAAAATTATTCGAAAGTTTAACCAACATATCCGAAGTAGTCAACTTTTGAGTTTCGCAGACACCACACTTAAGTTGTTTAATCAAAATACCACAGATAAGAACTCCATTTATATACTTAAAAGTTACGCCTTAAAACCTAATTGCACAATACTAATATTTTACTTTATTTTCAGTGGTGAAACATTTGGCATTATCGGCACTAATTGCAAATGTACAGATGCTCTACTAAATCTTCTTGCTGGCGAGCAACGTCCAAGTTTTGGACGTGGTTATGTCAACACTGTTTCGTTGGTCGATGAACGCCGAAAGGCACTAGCACATATCGGCTATGTTCCAACCATCAATTGTGTTATGCCAGAAATGACATGCTATCAAATTTTGAAAATGTTCTGTATTTTGTATGCATATCCGTACAAGGAAATCGATGATATTTGTGAAAATTTATCCGAACATTTTGGTTTCTATTCACACTATAATGTGCGTTTGGATCATTGCAGTATGGGTATACGAGAACGGATTTCAAACTCAATTGCGATTTTAATGAAGCCCGCCTTTTTGTGCATCGGCAGTTATAGCTGGTGCTTGGATCCACATGGCAGGCGGCAACTCTATCGATTGTTGAATGAGCTGTGCAAGCAGGGTACAGCTGTTACGATGACGTCTGTTGTAAATTGTTTTACTGAAATTCTCTGCACAAAAATAGTTGTCATGCAGCATGGACAGATTTTGCATATTGGCAAACCGAGTCAAATAGCGTCGGCTATAGCCCATGGTTATTTTGTTACGATGCGCATGAGAAAAGTTGTACAAACTCCGCAAGGCTTATCATCTAAAGTTTATTTTCGTTTAACTTCCTTTATGGAAAAGAATTTTCCTAGTTCCATTTTGGTGTAAGTCAGTGCTTGAGATTACAATGCGGTGTCTGTGTGTATGTATGTATGTGCAAGATTATAATAACAATTTATTTCAGGGAAGAGGGCACATTAATGCAATTCTTTATACCACACTATAGCACTACACTGGCAACTCTTTTTAAAATCATACGCTTGAACTCTTTCCAGTTGAATATTGAGAGTGTGTCTATTGCATCAATCAACATGAATTACGTATTCGGACTAATAACCGAAAGAGCAAAGAGATCTATTATGACATAATTATTCGTATTTATTTTTTCGTTAGAATTTTCATATACAATATTTCTATGTGCTAACTATTAACTAAAATTAATCTGTATTTGCATTTGAGTTGAATCAATTGTGTTTTTTTTTTGTTTTACTTCAATAAATGTTATATCCCAACAAACACTGGAAAGAAATGTTCAGAAGTTTCAGAAAATGTTATCTCTCAATTTGATTTTCAGCATTTTTTATCATTTTAAAGTAAACATTTTCTCAAATTTTTCTCAAAGGTGGCTTATAAACTTAAGAACGGTTTGAGAAATATTTGAGAATGAATATTTTTGCATTTCGTTCCGCGTCGCAGTCTATCGGCAGTCTGCTACACCAGTCGCAAAACGGCTTGTCGACCACGCGGTTGCTGTCATTCGCAATTTGTCTGTTGGTTCCTCGTTCAGGTAAGTTGAATTTGCATATCAATTATTGATCTGAATGAATTTTTTTTTAATAACATATATCATTTTGTGACGGATTATTTTGGTAACTCATCTGCCGACGTGGTCTACTGACTTGCCATTAAAATTTTAAAACGAAAGAAAGAAATAGTGTGCTACATTAATAGTGACCTTCAATTTGCCTGCTTAACCCTACAATGGTCACGTGGTCTACGATCGTCGAGCACTTCTTTTAAAATAGTGTTATCTTTTAATTTTCTTTCTTAAGCTAGTTGCGCTTTTCAATAGCTGTTGCTAATACGTATGCTCACATAATCAGTGAGTTAGGTGCGCTGAGGGGGAGCGATTGTAGTAGACCACGTGACCAATGGCGTTTTAGTTTTTTGCTTAAACATTATATTTTAAATTCATTATTTTGATTGGTAAAGGTAAGTAATATTCACTAATTTTTCACACTCATGAAGTTAAAACAATACTGTTTAGAAAAAACTATGTCAGAACTAAAGCAAAGGTAAGCGGAGACGCCCAAGAATTTTACAGTGTTTTTGAGACGGTTGGACGAACTGCCCATTCGAAAAGAGCGCTGCTATGTTTTCTCCAGCCACAGCAAATTATGTCGGCCGTTTTCATATCTGCCCTCGAAGTAAGAATAAATATTCCAGAAGGGCATGTATAAGTTGTGAGAGATTTACTGTCAAAAATGAAGAATGCCTGCACATTTTGTGTGAGTAAAATTTTCCTAACTTCAGAGGCCTCCAATTAATTTATTTTTATGTGGAATTTTGCTTTCGGTTTTTTAAGGCAAATGTTTAAATGCTTTGTTACGATGAAAAATAGTTTGTTCATTGCTTTCAATAAATAAATATATTTATTCAATTAATTGTATGCCTGTTCTCAAAAACACCAAAAACTGGATGCAGTTTGTTTCCTTGGGTCCTTTTTTAAATCTAAAAATATTTTGTCTTAAAATCTAACCCATGCGATTTAAAAGATCCAAAAATGTATTTGATGCTGTATTATCATTTATATTCTCATAATTATTTGTCCTGTTTCAAAACAAAAATGGTCTACGATCGTAGACCAGGTGACTATTGGTGTAACTATATACCAAGTGACCATCGAAGGGTTAAAATGGAATAACATGCTCTATTAAAAATGGTATGAAGTCGAATAAAACAATCTACTATTCTTTTTGTCCATAGTGTTACCAGATAAAAACGACCCTTCATGATGGATAGGCAAGCATTATATCAAGAATCCAAGAAATCTTATTAGCGAATTCTACGATCTTGTGGAACCCTCCTTTTGTTGCTTACTCGAGGTTAATGAGGAACGCTTCCCCAAAGCAGTTCAGATGCAAATTTGCCAGCGCTGAACAGTCGCACACTTTGTGATCCACTGTT